GGGGCTCAAAAAAAAAAAAAAGTTCACACAATCAACCTGCAGGTTCGAGGATATCGCAAAAATGGGTTTTCGCAGTGATGAGCTTCTTTTCGGTCCTCTGCATGTTTGCGATGCGTCTCTGCTTGCCTCTAACTATTCCAAAAATGGTTAAATCTATCGAGCACACGACAAAGCACCACGACGACGCATGTCCCGGGCCGAACGTCACAGTTACAGGCGTCGTGCACAATAACAGCAGTGACATTCCGAATTCAGTTGTCTACGACTGGAGCGAGTACACCCAGGTAAAGTGAAAAACCACTATTGTTAAGTTATAAATTATTTAATACTCGTAGCGAAGGCAACTGTTGATTAAGTAATAATCCGATACAAAAAAGAGCCCGATTTTTGCAAAAGACTACGCTTTTACTTATAATTATATTCAAGTCACAACTCGTAGATTTTTCTCTAAAAAAAAATGTTTACCTACAACGTAAATAACTTTTTTTTTAATTTACAACTTTTTTAATTACAGTTTTGTCCTTCAAATCAACTTAAAAACATCATAACGTGGAATTATAAAATTGTTTGTACAAGGATTTTGTCTTGATACACTCTTATCAATCTGCCAAGGTATATCTACAAAAATTATTTCATAATTTTTACCGGAATTAAAGGCAAAAAAATTATTTTCTGTTGAATGAAACTCATTTCAACCATCAAGTATTGAGTTTTAAATCATTATAGTTTTGATACGCACGTACACACAAATTTGATTACACATATAATCGTCAGTAATTGGACCGCACTCGTTTTAAAAACAAAATTTTTTTTTTGGTAAAATATAAATCTTCGCCAAAGAATACAAAGACAATAATTCGATCGGGCGCTATAAAACACACCAGTTAGGCTCCGCGATAAAAGAATGATTTAAGGTTCACTCGATTGAAAGTAGTTCATACAAAAAACAATTTTTTTTTTTTTAATGTTAAAATTTGAGATAATAATGTTTATTGCTGTCATAAACAAGGGTATGACATTTATGAATATTTATCACACCGCTCTTCATATTCAACTTTAAATTTGCATGTTTTAACATAATACGTAACAGGAAACAACTATATAAAATATTCTTCCAATTATATTAAGAGAAAAATCACTTTTTGTATAAAAATACCATAAACATGTGCGTATCATTTGTAAGTTTTTTGGCATATTAGAAACAATTTTTTTATACTTTTGGTACACCCATACATATTGATATACAGTTGTCATCAACTTTTCTTATTTAATTAAAGTCTTCAGGACGTTCATTGCACATAGGTTTTTTGACAAATATTCAAACGTCAAACGTATATTGAAATAGCATAAAAAGAACCCAAAAAAATTGCAGCTCGTTTGACTGTACCATTATTTTATACATGTTTAAATTTTTAAAAAACCTATTTTAAGATGTAACCTTATGAAAAAATCACGTTAAATGGCATTTATGTAATTTGTAGGAATCTCCCAAATTTGTGGGTACAAAAGATTACTTTTAGATAAACCTATCGAATTTTCAAATAGACCCACAAGTTAAATTTTAAATAAATTTAGAAAGAGGAGATAAGGTGTGCGTGAAAGCATGTATGTTAGTCCATCCACATGAGAAAAACAATTGATAGCTTTACTGTACACATTGGCGTTCCTCTACCTAACTTCTCTGAACTTTTCCCCTACTAACTATGTGAAGAATGTCCTTAAGTCAAGAAATCACTTTAATCACGAATAAAAAAATTGTAAAAGAATAAAACATAATAAAAATTAATTATTGCATTTGCACAGGACAAAAAAATTTTTTTTAATATTTGAAATTTTTTTGTAAATATGAAAATTGTGTAAAAAATTATTTATTTACTGTTACAGTAACAAATCAAATGTAGAAATAAATATTTATTAATACATTGGAAAGATGCTCTGATAATATATACTTATTTCCAAGTTTTCTGAACAAATATTTACAAAAAAATTATTCTATGAGCAAATAATTTATTAATTTAATTTATAATAAAACCAAATGAATTAATATACATTAAATCTCCATACTGTATCTCTTTTTTAATAATATTTTTAAAGTTATGTATACTGAGTGTATGTATTCACAGATAAATTGATAATAAATGAGTATAATTCAATAATAAAAATTCCTGCAAAATAAAACTCCTTTTAAAATCATTCCGCTAAATTAGTAAACAGTGTACACTTATCAAAATTGGCGCGACTCATCACGATAAGTATGCATATGGAGTATGGAGACAGTTACAAGTGTAGGTGAGTGTATTTAGTTACCTCATAACGTACTTAAGTAGCATTTACACACAAAATATCTTTAAAGAACCAGCTCGTTTGAATAACTTTTTTAAAGAAGGCACTTTATTAGCTTGACAATGACATTTTAAAATTTTTAAAGATAAAAGAATGTGTGTGGCATCTTTCATCTTCTTAAATATCAAGCGACAAAGTTGCAAACGCTTAACGTAATGAGCGTGTTTACTTACATATATAGATTTACTCTCAGCTTCTCCAGCGAGTAGTATACACCTATTCTTCTTACTACGTTCGTACATTTTTTCTGTACCTACTGTCGTTTTCACTGTCAAGATTAGATTAAAATCTAGTCGACTTCAACCTGATCAATTGAATTTTGTGTGGTTTGTTGTGTGCCAAAATGTCATCAAAAATACAATATTTTTGTGAGTGTTTTTATTTGTTTGTTGCTTTTCTTCTTCAATAATATCAATAGCATTAAAAAAAAAAAAAAAAAATTGTCTAGTTCGGTGTTTTTGATTTTAATACCCGAAGTTGAATAATTTGCAGTGTAGTTTAGAGTGAAGGTATTTTCACTATAAAATCGATATTGCCAAAAATGTTGTTCCACCAAAAGTTTCATTGCGAGTATTAATGTCCCTGGTTTCTTACGGGGCTCAAAAAAAAAAAAAAGTTCACACAATCAACCTGCAGGTTCGAGGATATCGCAAAAATGGGTTTTCGCAGTGATGAGCTTCTTTTCGGTCCTCTGCATGTTTGCGATGCGTCTCTGCTTGCCTCTAACTATTCCAAAAATGGTTAAATCTATCGAGCACACGACAAAGCACCACGACGACGCATGTCCCGGGCCGAACGTCACAGTTACAGGCGTCGTGCACAATAACAGCAGTGACATTCCGAATTCAGTTGTCTACGACTGGAGCGAGTACACCCAGGTAAAGTGAAAAACCACTATTGTTAAGTTATAAATTATTTAATACTCGTAGCGAAGGCAACTGTTGATTAAGTAATAATCCGATACAAAAAAGAGCCCGATTTTTGCAAAAGACTACGCTTTTACTTATAATTATATTCAAGTCACAACTCGTAGATTTTTCTCTAAAAAAAAATGTTTACCTACAACGTAAATAACTTTTTTTTTAATTTACAACTTTTTTAATTACAGTTTTGTCCTTCAAATCAACTTAAAAACATCATAACGTGGAATTATAAAATTGTTTGTACAAGGATTTTGTCTTGATACACTCTTATCAATCTGCCAAGGTATATCTACAAAAATTATTTCATAATTTTTACCGGAATTAAAGGCAAAAAAATTATTTTCTGTTGAATGAAACTCATTTCAACCATCAAGTATTGAGTTTTAAATCATTATAGTTTTGATACGCACGTACACACAAATTTGATTACACATATAATCGTCAGTAATTGGACCGCACTCGTTTTAAAAACAAAATTTTTTTTTTGGTAAAATATAAATCTTCGCCAAAGAATACAAAGACAATAATTCGATCGGGCGCTATAAAACACACCAGTTAGGCTCCGCGATAAAAGAATGATTTAAGGTTCACTCGATTGAAAGTAGTTCATACAAAAAACAATTTTTTTTTTTTTTAATGTTAAAATTTGAGATAATAATGTTTATTGCTGTCATAAACAAGGGTATGACATTTATGAATATTTATCACACCGCTCTTCATATTCAACTTTAAATTTGCATGTTTTAACATAATACGTAACAGGAAACAACTATATAAAATATTCTTCCAATTATATTAAGAGAAAAATCACTTTTTGTATAAAAATACCATAAACATGTGCGTATCATTTGTAAGTTTTTTGGCATATTAGAAACAATTTTTTTATACTTTTGGTACACCCATACATATTGATATACAGTTGTCATCAACTTTTCTTATTTAATTAAAGTTTTTAAATTTTGTTGTCGGTTTTATAATATGTGATCTGTTGTAATTTAAAGTTAATTTGTCTACTATATATACGATTGTTTGTAAACGGCAAGAGATGCTAAATTACTGTAAGGGAGTTCCACCGTGGGGTATTCGCTGCGGGCCGATGCAGAGGTAGCGCACTCTAGCAGATATTTGACAAAATTTCTGCAATGTAAACAAACAAACGACGTAGCTGAGCCTCGTCAAAAAATACATGTATTGTGTCCATTAAATTTCTATTAAAGATCTTTAAATCAGAATAATTTTTGACATGGATATTGTTGCTTGGACAGATTTTGCTCCTATTAGGTATGCATAACTGAAACTTCGATGCTAAACAAACTTGTAAAGGGAAAAAAATTATCTCGTTCACATATCCAAAGAGTTGAAGAAATTAAAGAATTAAGTGATAGCAGATTATTGTTATGCATGTCAACAATTTTTCTGATTAAGTTAAAGATGAAATTACAAATTAGATTGACCTTAAATAGAAATTTAATGAGTACAATACATTTTTTTTGACAAGGCTACCTCTGCATCGGTTTGGAGCGAATACTATAAGAACAAATGACAGAACCCTACATACTAATTTTCTGTGTTACAAAAGTCGTCTAAAAAAAAAATACTTTTTTTAAATAAACAGAATATATTTGGTTCAACACAGTAATCAACAAAAGTACTTTTTTGTAAATGTAGCACCTTTAAAATAGTATATTACGTACCAAGGGACTAAAGCAAGCCAGTTCGTGGCTGTTGTAGTGTGCGCCCGAGCGTAGCGAGGGCGCTACAAGCAATAGCCACTCGCTGGCTTGCTTTAGTCTCGCGGTGCGTATACACTTTTATATCACACTCAGTGGAAAGTTCGTTACATTGAGAGGGAGAGAGATAGAAGGAAAACAAGCCATTCATTGTGTGGTTATAGGTTATATCACAAGAGTTTTTATAATTGTTTCCGATTGTGATATTTAGGATATTCCTGTATTTTTGTATAAAATATGGCAACAGTTTCGACAGTCATGTTTGAAGAGGATTCTTCTGACGAAGAAAACTTTAACGAGGATAAAGTAGGGGAAGGAAGAGACTTTGACTGTGAACGAAATGCCATTGTTCAAAATTTACTTCCCATAAAATCGAGAGCATT